GCAGTACTGTCGCCAGAAGATGGGCCGTGGAGCGGTGGAGATGCAGGAGTTCGTGAAGATGCTAAACGAAGCGGATGAGGACATACTACTGCATAAATATAACTACAGAAAACTGGTCGAAGGAAGGTACCGTAAGCTACAGCCAAGCAAGCGCCCCTTTTTCCTCAGAATAACTTTTCGAATAAAAATAGACTTATTTATTCAAAATTAGTCAAATTTTTAACCAAACTTTGAATGTCGTTATTTCAGACAGCCGATGAGTATTAATCTTTGACGACTTTTGGGGCCACGAATGATTGAGAAGGAAATAGGATTGGCCTGGAGCCGGTTATAGTTTGAACGAGGGGATAAGAAAGAAAGCACTGAGAAAAGAGCTGCAAGGGGGTAGGAAGGGGATGTTATTTTGTTAGATGCTTAATTTTCCTGTGGTAAGATCGCTTCGAATGATAAATTTGAGTAATTCAGAAGTGCAGATGTATCTTTGGGAATAGATGAAATGAAATGTGAACTTAATCATTCTGTTCTATTCCTCTTACCTCTTGTCGCTACAACCTGTCAGCAGCAATGCAACATTTTCCAATACTTAATCATAATGAATTTTTAAAAAGCAACAGGATTATAAGTGCCAAAAGCTGCAAAAAACTTGAGGATGAAGCAAGGGAAGAACGGTGGGCAATGAAACATATTTACACAAACACGCATCACATCCCTTACTTTTTACATAAACACATTTCATCTAAAATTAAAATTACAATATGTGTGAATTCTCAGTTTTCTCAGGTATTTCCCTCTAAGTAGCTACAGTAAATTCTTTCGTAATTCAGATGGTCGCCGATTGAACAGGCCAATGCTGTTTTCTACTGGCGATGCTTGTTGGACTTTTGCAAATCGAGGTGTACCACGGAAGCCGAATGGTCCGAGTGCAGCTATCGCTTATTGCCGACGATGCGCAACTTCTGTGAAATTACCAATAGGTATTTCCACTTTTTTATATGAAAGAAAAACCGGCTTGCAGTAGTAGCGAGCAGTAGCATACTGTCCATCAGGTGGCGCAGGTTTAGTTTAGAAAGGTTATCTCTGATGCATTACGATTGAAGTAATTGCTGATTTAAATTTTGTAATTGCGAGAAG